ATATATCAATATGATTTTATGTTTTATTTTCTGCTACTCTGTTTTACAGGATGTACATTTTAATGATTTCCATGTTTGTCAAACTTTCCAAATGTATATACATAACTATATATCTATCTGAATTTGGATATTGTAAACTGGTAAAGCATCGAATGTACTTCCATGTTCTTTCTACTTTCGGCACTTGGGCTTCATGTCGCCTTTGGGTTGGTTACTTTTCTTCATTCTAGCAATGCGCTCCATCTGCGATTTAATGAATTCACGTTTCGCTCGGAAGGGTCTGTGTTTTAAAGCTGCCCTAACACGTCGTACGGCCTTCTGCTGTTTGAGCTGCTCCAATGATTTCCTGAAATCTATTCTTTTTTTGTTCGGCGTCACCGTTTTGGCCGTCTCTGCCTTGGAGCTAGTCATCTGCTGCTTGTTCATAGTGGTCTTTGATGTGTTATCGCTGTGAAGTGGTTTCTGTTCCATTTCCTGTTTCGAATGGCTGTTCCCAGCGATATCCTCCATAGAGGGACTCAGGATTATATGCCCAACCACATAGTTTTCATTGTGAGGCTGCTTGCCTGTGGCCATGGAATCAAATAGGTTTTCATATCGTGGCTCTTGTGTGGTCTTTGGATGCTTGTCTTGCTTCTCTCTAGGTTTCTGGCTTATCTTCTTAGCTGGTTTTGGTTTCATAACTCGTCTGCTTGGGTCCAAAGACGGCTTCATTATTTCTTCATCACCCTTCGATTCCTTGCTATGGCTATTTTTGTTCATTCGACTCTCAGGTTTTGGCGGCATGGCTCTTCCCTTTAGCTTGGAATACGGCGTCATCATATCACTGTAATTATCTGATTCCCCGCTATGCCTAACTTTATTCATTCGATTTACTTCTTCTGGCTGCATGGCTCTTCCCTTTAGTTTGGCAAACGGTGTCATCACTTCGGTATAATCATCTGATGCCTTGTTATGTCTAACGGTTTTCATTCTATTGACTGTGTTTGGGAACAGGGATGCTCCCTGCGGCTTGGAAAACGGCGTCATCATTTCACCATAATCATCAAATTCCCTCCTTTCGTTATCTTGCGGCTTTCTTCGAATTGTTTTACGCTGCTTTCTTTTCTTTTCACTATAGTCATCTGATTCCTCCTCCTCATCTTCAGTTCTGCGAGAACGGTATTTTTTCTTGCTAGAGCCATCATTATGTGAAGGTTTTTTAGTTGATTTTTGCCTAGTCGGCAGAATCTCTATATTTCCCACATTTTTACTTTGCAGAACATCCGTAAAGTACTGTTGCCACGACTAATAAGGAAATTCGATATTTTAAAAAATCACAGTCATTAAATTTCAATTTACCTTATGTACGGAAGTCGGACTTTGAACCCATTTTGAGAAGAGACATTCCATGTAATGCGCATCTACATCATTAACAAAATACTGTTGATTCACTTTATCTTTGAATAACTTGTAAGGATCAAAGTTTATCTTCTGATTTGGATCGTGCACTGTCCTAGTACCTTCCTCTTTTGATCTGCCATCATTCGATTTTCCTGTACTAAAACGTTGAAAACGCGATTTTGCAAACGCTAATACTGAATCAATTTTGAATTTAGCATAAACAGACATATCGCCTTATTATTAAAATATTCCAAAATTAATTTCCAAAAATAAATAATAAATAAACTATTAAAACTAACTAATGTGTAAGCTAAAATGAAAGCCTACTCCACTCGTTTTAACGTCTTTGTTTCAATGCTGTAAAGTGTACACACAGTAGCAGTGCTGTAAAACAGCTATGGTACGTTTTTAGTATTTATTCTCCTTCGAATTGTTGGTCACACTTAGCCATAATGATTCAGTGTTGGCAAAAGCGATCTGTTGTCATTGCCGAGCACTTACAAAACACTGCAAAAGTCCACGCTGGGCATATAAATTGATTTGTTTATTTATTTGTATATAAAAACGAATTGTATAAATTACTATAGCTATGAATAAATTCCACACACCCTCATTTGGCGACGAAATGTTCGAGATGAACGAAACGCCCCCGGAGCAGACACAACACCCAAATGCTGTAAGTTCTTAAGCGTGGAAGCTGAGCTGAGAGCGATGCGCCGTGTAGTCTCCCCAACAATAATATTGTATATAATCAGTGCGTGGTTTGCTTTTAGGGATAGTTCGACTGAAGTATTGTATGTAAACGTGTTCTTTTTCTGAATGAAATCATTTAAGATTGCTGCCAACCTCACCGGCCAGCAGACGCTAACGTATTGGAATACACACAAAAGTTAAATGAATATTTTCAACTGATTTTTGGTGGATCGAATGTTTTTCCGGCTGAGTAATTGGATTAATGAAGGTGCTCGCAACTGTATATTGGTTGATAATCGTTTTATAATAGATCCAAAAAGCGCCCAATTGGAAACGTTCAGTGCGCTTCTCTTGAATTCGTAATAGTTTATGGCTGTGTGTGTGTGTATGCTCGTCTGTGACTGTGTGTGTATGCTTGCCCTAGATGATGGCATCAGTAAGCGCATGAGGGTTATCGATACAAAACAACAACAGCAATGAAGCTAACAGCAGAAGGCAACGCAAATGCTTATCAACAAACAACACGCACACCAATAAGCTAATACAAACAAACAGACACACACACACACACTCATACACATGCAATCAGCAGGTTGCGTCTACCGCTGACTGCGTCCCCCTCTGGCTCTTCACGTCCTCCATAGTCGAGCAGTTCCGTACGTGTTATGCACAAGCGAAGCACATGTACAAATATACGTACACTGCGTCTTGCCTAATATAGAGAGCTGTTAGCTGGGACGCGATTAAGCACACATATATTTAATTGATTTACAATACAGCAGCCAAGATGAAGAAATTATTAGTGAGCCATCATCTCTCTATAAGATACACCGCAGTTTTTTTTCGATACAATAAAAAATTATTTTTACATTTGTGTTTAACACCTGCTATAAAACGTATTTCATTTTGTTTCTCTTTGTCTCCCTCATTACAGTCACGACGTATTAGCAGGTTAAGCAGTCTGGATCACTCCACGCTGGTCGACGACGAGGAGGAGGCTATTGACTACGATACACCCAGCAGTTATCAGATGACAACAAATCAGCAAGAGCCGCAGCAACAATCTCAACAGCCGCCAGCCAAGCCGCTGGCGCCATATGCGCTCTTCTTTCGGGACACCATGACAGCCATCAAGCAACAGAATCCTGCCTGCACGCTGGAGCAGATCACAGCAATAGCTCTGAATATGTGGGAATCTATGGATGAGAAGCAAAAGACTGTTTACGAACAGCGGCATGACGTGGAAAAGCGTGAATATGTGCGACAGCTGCACGAACATCAGCGCAATCAGCAGTTGGGCGAGCAGCAGCAGCAGCAACAACAACAGCAACAGTCGTCGCTTTCGCCGGACTCTGTGCCCGAGCAGGAGGAAGCGCCAGAAGCTAAAAACGAGACGGCCGTTGCGCAGCCGCCACCGCCCTCGGATCAAATTCAGCTATTAACCGAGGCAGCAACCGTGCAAAAATGTACGCGCGAGCAATGCAATAAGCCGGCAATAATAAATCCCGATTGGGAGGATGAATATTGCAGCAATGAATGCGTTGTTATACATTGTCGCAATGTGTTTACGGAATGGGCGCGTTCGCTGCAAAATTCGCCCACGTAGTTACTAATCTAAATAGGTGTACTTGTAGGTATTAACTAAAACAAACAAAGAAAAAAAAAGTAGGCAATACAGCGCAATCGCCAGTCAGCTGATTGGATCATATAGCACATGCAGCGTTGCCAGCCGTCCAAAATGCGACACTTTGAAGCACTGATGCTTGGCACACGCACAAAATGACGCGCGCAATTCAAAATACGTTTTGTGCATTACTTAGTATTATGCAATTATAAATAAAACATCAACAATTATGTATATATTTGTTTATATATATAACTTTTAATAAATACACACTTTTATTAAACTTGCACTTCATTATCAATATATCAATGTCGATTCGCTTACAAAATACATTTCTGTGTTTATTTTTTTGTGGTTGTTTCTTTTTGTTTTTATATAT